AAAAAGTCGTCAAAAATGCTCCTTTTTTTCAACTTGATATTCTATTTCAATAATTAGCATAAATTAACTCGAATAAAAGAAGAAAATAAATTGAGGTGGAATAAGACATCTTCTTTTTTAATGATATAAAACTTTATTACAATCATCAAAGTCGAAAAAAAAAAACTTCTTCACTAACGGTCATTGACGCCATACCAAGAGAAAAACTTTTCGTTTCAAATTCTCTTCCACCTCCATTACTAATTTAAAATTCAATTGCTGAAAAAAAGTTTAAAATATCGAATTGCAAAAAAATTATTGGAAGAGAACTTCTCCATTGCGTAATCCTAAGTTACCTTCTCATACTTGTTTTCATTTTGATGTTTTAAAAATTCTTTTCTGCATTTGAAACTTCATAGCTTTCTCTAAGTTAGTCAGAACTCACTTTTTCCATACTTAAAATTTTGAATTAGTTCTGGAGGTGAAAAAGAATTTGAGACGAAAAGTTTCTCCCCTGGTATGGCGTTCTCTTAAAAATTGGGTCGTATAAGTTAAAAGAAGAAATGAATTTGTTAATCCTATGAAAATAATTTAAAACAATATTTATGATTATATGAATGAGTGAGCCGTGGTGGCTCAGGGGATAGAGTGTTCACCTTCCATTGAAGTGAACCGGGTTCGGATCTCAACGATGGCTGGTCGATACGAATCCCGCACCCGGCCTGCAACGACCCCAGTGCTGGCGTAAAAATATCCTCAGTGATAGACGGATCATGGGATGGGTTAGAGTCCCCTTGCCGTCAGGCTTACCGTGGAAGGTTTTCGTGGTTTTCCTTTCTATGTAACGCAAATGCGAGTTAGTTCCCTAAAAATGTCCTCCACGAGGGCAAATTTTCTCCCAATACTTGATCCAGGTCTTCTGGATTGGGTTCAAAATTACACGGCTACGGAGTTGAACTTTAGTAGTCGTAAACCCAAAATTGGATCAGCTGTTCAACGAGCTTGCCTTCGTGGAGGATTTTTTGATGGTTTTTTTCTTGGCTTTTTAATTTTGTAATTGAATATATAATTATATTATAATTGAACAGTGGTAATATGCACATTATAATTTTTTATTTGTAGATTTGAGTTTTATGCAGAAATTTGCATAAAAAATCCGTATAAAGTATAAAAGTTTTTCTTGGCTTTATAATTTTAACAATCACTACTCCAGTTATTAGGATAGGCAAATTAACAAATACTTAATTAATAAGAAATATAAAATAATAACAAATTTTGTTTTACAACTTAATAATTGTATCATTAGATTATAATCAATTTGCTTAGAGAGGCACTTTTGGAAATTCTTACATGATTTCAGAAGCACTTTTAGAATTCTTTCGTAAATAATTAAATATATACAATAGGCAACTTAGTTAACAAAAAAAAATATTACTACGTAATAATTCGTGAAGCCTCACTAAATATAAAAATCCGTATAAATTATTAAAGTTTTTCTTGGTTTTATAATTTTAACAATCGCTGCTCCAGTTATTAGGATAGGCAAATTAACAAATACTTAATTAATAAGAAATATAAAATAATAACAAATTTTGTTTTACAATTTAATAATTGTATCATTAGATTATAACCAATTTGCTTAGAGAGGCACTTTTGGAAATTCTTACATAATTTCAGAAGCACTTTTAGAATTCTTTCGTAAATAATTAAATATATACAATAGGCAACTTAGTTAACAAAAAAATATTACTACATAATAATTCGTGAAGCCTCACTAAATATACGTGACAGTATATCAGGTCCAAGAAAACGTATCTATTAATCGGAGACAATACCCATTGTTAAATTAGATATAAAGTTTCCAACGAAATAGAACAAATATAGAGTTCGCATTTAAGTTTTGTTTTTTAACAAAAGAAGGATTGTATAAGAAATAATTTAGAAACAAAATATTGTTCATTAGTTTTCCTCAAAATGAATAATTTTGCCGAAAAAAGTGAAAACACTTTCGGATTTAGATCAAGCAGGGATAGTACGAATGAAACCGGATTTTAACTAATTATATTTTCGAAACTAATACACATACTACAAATGCACAAAATGTATGCCAATTTTTTTTAGTTTTTCTTGTTTTTTCAGTTCAACGTGTGAATATTTATTAAAAATTTAAGTACTCAAAATTTTCAAGCATTGAATAATTAATTAAAAATTGTTTCAAATATTACATTAAATTTTTAATTAGTTTTTTTCCAAACATTTTGTATAAATAGTTGCATATCCGACGTTTTTTTTAAAATTTATTATTTTTATTTTAATCCTCTGACGCAGAATTTTTATTAAACAAATTCTTAATGTTTTTTTATTATTCTCTGCCAAATTAGATAATAATAAACAAAAAATATTATAATTAGCATTTTAATAATTTTTGGTTATGAAATACAGCATGATACACCGGTGTCTTTTTCTGTGTTAAAGTTAAAATCTTCCAAACACAGTTTCATTTCCAAACTTTTTAATCTAGCTACATTTTTAAAATTTGCACTTATTTACAGTTATTTAAATCTAAGAGAAACAGTTATTCATCACTGAAATTTCATTTATTTATAAAATCAATTATTGATACATTTTTGAACATGAATGAAAAAAAATTTTTTTTTTTCAAACTACTTTTTTTGGATTTTATACTTTAGTACAGATATCTAATTTAAAATCTAATAAAAAATTTAGTACCAAAAATCTAACAATTTTTTACAGCAACTATTAGAAGTTTTTTTATAATTAAAAATGCCTTAATACACTTTTGCCTGTAATTAGAGCGTTAGAAAAATCTATGTATAAAGAAGACACCGGTGTTCTATCTGCGCAGAAAGGTTAGCATCGCATGTTATTAAATAATTTGGATAATGTTTTAAATCATTCGAAAGCGGTTGTTTTGTTCTATCAGAATCTCTGTTTTGTTTTTTAATCTAGCTATTTTACGTTAATTTTCAGATCAATGAAATGAAACGTCAAGTTGAGAAAAATTAATTATTTTCTTCTTTCAAATTGAAATTTCGATCTCAGAGACGAACTTTGTCCTGGCCCTCTAGTGGAGTTTGATGAAGAGCTACTTTTGCTCAAAATTTTGCTTCAAAAAGCAAAGGAACTGCTAAAGAAAATGAAATGATCCCACTCATTAAAGTTCTTTTTTCTTCTTAAAAAAAAGACTAAAAAACTTGGCGGGAACTTAGTTGCCTACCCAATAGATAAACTTAATGCTTTTAGAGTTGCTGTTATTTAAAGAAGAACCCAGCCTCAAATTCAATCTTCAGGAAAAATTTATTTAAACCAATTTAAAACAAACTTTTGTAAATTGTTTTAATTGTTGAATTGTTTTGCAATTGCAAATTCAATTTTTGTGTTTGCTTAGTTTCTAACCAAATTTTTCTTCACTATCAATGGTTTTTTTAAAATTAAAAATGCGTTCTAGTTCAGTGTTTTCGTCATGAATGGTTCATAAACACTTCATGTCAGATATTTACTCTTAATTACATGGCCAAAATATCCAAGGCTTATTTGATTTATTTTTATGAGGTTATATCAAGGGTCGTCGGGCTTCCAAAGCGGGGGTGCCATCTCCTCTGCAGAGGATCAAAATTTTGATGGCATGTCTTCGGATCATCCTCAGGGATGTTTCCCAGATCGTCGCCAATAGCCCATTGTGAAGCTCTAGTGCGACGTTAATGAACTACAACAACAACAATATCAAACAGGCTGTAAAAAACCGACGCCGAAAACCTTGTAAAAACACATTTGCTTCCCTTAGGAAGCATTAGAAACTGCGAAATGTGTAGAACGAATTGGATTACATATTACATGTTTGTTGTTTAATAAAAAGATTAACATTTGTTACATTTGTAGATGGTACTTTTTTAAATTTAAAATGGTACTTTTTTAATTTCATGTATGATTTATTGTAATGTGTGAAACAGTTTCAAAAATATCAGTATTTAAAATCCCGTCATTCATTTGTACTAATCCAATCCTGTATTTAATAAAATTCTTTGATGTTCCAATAATTTTAAAATGGGATATTTTAAAACATTTCATAGTGACGCGCAAAGGACTTACTGAGTTCATAGACTTTTCTCACCAAGTCTGTTACGTTTTTCTTTTCTTCATGTTCTCATTTGTTCCCATTCTTTTGTGGTGTCCTTCTGTAACTCTAGCCATTGGAAATAAATATAAAAAACCAATATTTTATATATATTTAGTCATAATATTCAATTTTTCCATACCTATGGCAAAGTTAACATACTTTTAAATTAGTGCTTCGATTTAGCATGTTGTATAATCTTCTTTTAATATACTTAAAAGCTTATTTTACCATACTGAATTAGTTTGACTTAAAAATTTTGTAAACAGTAAGAAAATGGATAAAATTGCGAAGTTTGCCAAACTGGACACAGTGAGCCGTAAAAGGTTTAAGGGCTAATTATAAATATGCTATTAAATTAGTGAAAATTACGAAATTAGACACAATTACGAAATTACACAAAATTACGAAATTACCAAACTGAGCAGTAAAATGTCTAAAATTAACCTTAAATATGCTATAAAATTAGTGAAAATTACGAAATTAGACACATTTACGAAATTAGACAAAATTGCGAAATTGCCAAAATGGACACACTGAGAAGTTAAAGGTTTAAAGCCTAACCATAAATATGCTGTAAAATTAGTGAAAATTACGAAATTAGACACAATTGAACACAAGTGATTGATTAGACACAAGTGAAAAAAACTCAAAAACATACTGTTTCTGATTTTAAAATTTTTTTATCCATTGTATTGGGACTTTCGATCTTCGAAATAAGGGATTGGGTAGCCGCTATCTGCTGAATGGTCCCTGTACTTTAAACAAGAGAGTATTGTTAAATTGGAACCATTTATTATTATTATTATTATTATTATTATTTTGCAACATTGTATTAAAGTGGCTTTAAAAATTAAATACTCATCTTAAATTTATTTCCTTTCAGATTGGTTTTCTGTGGTATTACCATGAAGAATTATGTTGATGAAAACATTTCGAATAAAAGTCATGTGACAGTGAAATATGTTACAAAAATGTTAGCTACAGCATCCGAAACAATAATTTTTGTTGTTTTAGGAGTTTCAACTGTTAATGACAATCATGAATGGAACACGTGGTTTGTCTTATTCAGCATACTTTTTTGCAGCGTATATCGAGCTATAGGTAAATACTTGTATTATTTTTATCCCTTCATTTTATTGCATTTTGGTAAATTTGCTTTTTTTTTAAAAATAAATTGTACACGTATATCATTAAACTAAATCAGGATCTCTAGTAAGATGCTTGTAGCTTAAAATTAAAGCATATATATTTAAATATTAAAGCAGAAGTAAATTAAAATTAAAGCGCATGCAGTTTGAAATTAAAGCATATATAGTTTAAAATTAAAGTATAGTTTAAAACTAAAGCTTTTATTAGGGCACTCACACTGCGGCTTTTTTGAGACCTTCTATAAACATTCTTGACAGCCGGCCAGGTGGCCGAGCGGTCAGCGTGCCTGACTGTGAAGCCAATGGTTGCGGGTTCGAATCCCGCTCAGGGCATGGATGTTTCTCTGTGTGTGTGTGTTCTCTATTGTGTGATGTGTGAATGTGGCCTACCCTATAAACGGGTATGTGGCAGTGTGGCGTGGGTAATGTTGCTCGCCTCCGTAACTTAGGTTCACAGGTGCCTACTGGGTAACGTTAAATAAGTAACACCTCCGGCATCTTCCTAGGCGAAGAACGAAAGTTCAGTGCCTGCCGTTAAAAAAAAAAAATAAATAAATAAATAAATTTGAAAAAAATAAATAAAAAAAATACATTTTTGACAGCGAACACTAATGTTACTTTTCTGTAAAATTGTTTATTTTTTTAAAAATTTATAAATCATGTAAAATGCCAAAGCACGAATACCAAGTATAGGGCGGAAACTTTAATTTTTGAGCTTGCATCAAATTTGGACCATTCTACTTTAAAAAAGAGAAAGACCCATCTCCTGAAAATAACTTTTACCGCACTTTTAGCCTCCCCCAATACCGTGTCTAACTGATCGTAAATACACGGTTCCTAGTAGAACACCGAAGTCAAACATCACTGGCTGCGGTCAGTAAGCGGGTGGGTGATCTATTTGATCAGCCTGCGTAGGGGCCGAGGGTTCGCGGCATCAGTCCTCGTTAAAATGTTCTACCGTAAAGTGCTCGACTTCGCGCGCAGGTCGTCGGACTTCCAAAGCAGGGGAGCCTTCCCCTCTGCAAAGGATCAAAATTGCAATAGCATGTCTTCGGATCCTTCACATGGATATTTTCCCGACCGTCGCTAATAGCCCATTGTGCAGGTCTAGTACGATGTAAGTAAAGTATCTACTTACCACCAATACCTAATGAACGGCTAATTTTGCTTTTTTTCAGAGCTTTTAATGTAAATTTTGTTTATGACATTAGAAAATTACGTAAAACTGCCAATTTTAATTACATTGCGAACATAACAGTCAATTTTAGCTGGATTTGTGCGGACTAAATTTAGCAGCGAAAATCTTTTACTCTTTTTCTAAACATATAATTTATATGCGAAAAACAAAAACGGGGAAAGAAATAAAAGTACAAAAGGAACATTTTTGTGTTTAGGGAGAGCCTAAGTATTCTATACAAAACTTTTTTTATCAATAATATATTAAATTGTTTTTTTACTTTTCAACTTTATTAATAACTTAAAAATGAATGCCTGGATTTTATTAATTCTAGTTTTTAACCAGTTTTTGTTCAAACGAGAAAATGTTGCCAAAAACTAAACGTTTATTTGCGTCGTACTTGAGTAACGCAATGGGCTATTGGCGATATTATTGTTGCGACATTGGCGAATTAAATATAAAAAAATAATAATAAAAATTTTTTAAAAAAATGCGAGTTGCTATATGAAGCTCTATTTCATCATTTGAAAAGTTAAGTAATAAGCGGAAAGCTCACCCATCGTTATAAATGGCGAAAAAAACATTTATTTTATCCCTTTGTTTGCATTTCCTTTACTTTTTTTATACTTACAACAATCTATATTTTTAATAACACCTTTTTATTTACAATTAAAGCACTTAACAGGATTTTAAGCATCAGTTGTATTGACTATGTTCATATTCGCACCTCTTATACTTTCATAGTTTTGTTTCGTAGTCTTACACATGAAACATTCATTACTTAAATATAATAGACATTGGAACATAGGAAAATATATATGACGAAATGACACAAACCTGAACGAAACGTTGCAAACAATTCAAAATTGCTCAAATGTATACACATTAGATTATTCAGATGTATGCAAATGTATACAGCTGTTTCATTCAAAACTTTCTTACTTGATTATTCAAATTCACTGCTAAGTATTAATTATAAATATTAGCGCATTTCTTAATTTCATTCATACACCCCTATTCAGAATTTATTTTTTCATGGGTTTTATTTCATATTTATAACCGTCGTTGAGCAGTTGACCTAGTTTTTGGGTTTACGACTACTAATGCTCAAATCCGTAGCCTTGTAATTTTGAACCAAATCGGAAGACAAGGGAACTCCTGGATCAAGTACTGGGAGAAATTTTGCCTTCATGTAGGACTTTTTGATGGAACTAACCCACATTTGCGTTACGTGGAGAGGAAAACCATGAGAGCCTACCACGGTTAACCCGATGGCAAGGGGACTCTAAACCATTTTCCGTCTACCACTGAGGATATTTTGCGTCAACACTGTGGTCGGTGCGAGCCGGGTGCGGAATTCGTATCGACCAGCCATTGCTGGGATTCTAACCCGGTTTTTAACAACACATGGAAAGGCGAACGCTCTATCTCCTGAGCCACCACGGCTCTTCGAGGATTGTTCCGCGCACCGCGGTCTTGAATAATCATGTAAAATTTAATGAATTAAGGTAGGAGTACTTCAGTCACTCATCATAATTGCCCGCCTTTACTATCAGATATCCATTCATTCTGATCGCTGTAACAATTCCAAAATGCCTGTTTCTGATTTTTGCCCAAAAATACGAATGAGTTTATCAATCCGGAGTTTAAATTTTGTCGCTACTATGAATGAATATCGCTAAATAGCACAAGATTTCTGATAACACGGATATTTACATCATTGATTAAAATTAAACAAAACTAGTTAAAACATATTGTAAAATTTAATGTAACAAAAACAACATTAATTTCAGGTTCACCTAATATATTACCGAAAAAGATCTAGCACTAAAACTTAAAAATAAGAAATAATGTGATAAATAACTAAAAAATAAATGTCCTAATATCTGAATAAAATAAAAATTTAACGCTTTTAAAAAAATTCGAATTTTGATAGGATATTAGAAAGAAGCTAAATACAGTGAAACAGCTTTTAATTTGTTAATACTTAAATAATTTCAAAAATATTTGCTTTTTAAATAAAAAAAAGTAAGAAAGCGAAAATAAATCAACTAAAATATGAATGTAATCTAAAATGGAAACAAAAAAAAACAAACAATATTTTGAACTTTTGAAACATCGATAAGAGAGGTAACAAACAATATATATAACAATATTATAATTTTTAATTTTATTAAAATTTGACATAATTTTAAGTTTAATATTGAGAAAATTACAAGCAAGGAAAATCAAGTCGCAATAATAAAGAAATGCATAAAATTTTGAAATCTGAAAAATCAACATTAAATCAGTGAAATGGCAATATATATTATTTTTTTAAAGTCTGGTTTCACAAGTCTGGCGGATGAAATTATGAAATTAAAGAATAAATAATTAATGATTTTAATTTAAATTGGTAATGTTTTAAATCGCCAAAAATCAAAGATGATGAAAAAAACTAATAATAATAAAACTAATAATAAAAGACTAATAATAAAAGAAACTAATAATAATAAAAAAACTAATAATAAAAGAATCAATACCAATCTAACAAGTTCACAATATTTTATACTTATTAAAAGTAAAACAATTTTATGTTTTTGAAGTTTTTTTTAAACTAAAATTAAAGCATTGTTAACAAATTATGTACTGATAAAATGAAAGAAAACAATATGATTGTAAAACTTAATTAAAATTCATAAAATTTTTATTTACCTGAAGTAATAAATTTTGTATTTGCTTTTAGAAGGAAGCAAAAAGTAACTTGAATCTAAATTTGCTGATGTACTTTTAAAATTTGAAAAACTAAGGAAAATTTTAGATGGATACTTTCTTTAAAAGCACTTTGCGACAGAAAATTGAAGGAGTGTCAAGTCTCGTAAGGGTGACAAGAGACAATTTTAAGTCTCGTAAGAGTGCGTGAGGCAAATAAGTCCTGTGAGGGTTCCTTAACCCTTTCCTTCTCGCTCCCATGAAAATGACGGGGTGAGGTTTCGCCCTCTATTTCTCGCTTCCGTGAAATTTCCGGGCTGGAGTGTTCAGTAGTAACGCGTAAATAAGAATAAAACTAATTCCTTTCTTTTTCCCAGAAAACATTTTATTTCTCATTTTACACACCAGATGGCAGTACCAGGAAATTTTTATGATAATTGCAGATAGTTAATTTATTTTAAACCAGATGTCAGCACTAATCAAATACGTGTATTTGGTAAAATATTCACTTTTATGACTGTTTTCTTGAAAATTAACCGATTGTTAAGAGGTTAACTTGGAAAATGAAATTGTCTTTGAACTGAAATTATCACAGAAGACATTTTAAAGATTTTTTTAGACGTATTAGATTTATTATTGAATTTAATATTCATTATTAAAAAATGAAAATCATTTTTAGGTGTGATTGTTTTAACGGCCATACTGAACAATTTTCGTCTTCATCAATTGAATGGAGTCGAGCAATTCATCATGTCTTATGGAGGATTAAGAGGTGCAGTTGCTTTTGCTTTAGCTCTCATTATTGATAAAGACGTAATTCCAAGTAAAAATATGATGGTTACAACAATCATTGCAGTCGTGTATTTTACAGTATTTGTTCAGGTATGTCGATTTTTTTTCCTTCCTATTAATTACCTGCCTATATCAATTCTTATCTATCTGCCCTATCTATCTATCCTATTCCTATCTATCTGTCCTATCATATCCTATCAATTATCTTACCAATAATCTGTAGTCCCTTCAATCCCATTTTTATCAAACTCCTGCTCAAATTCTTAAAAAAAGAAGAAAGAAAAAATACATCAAATGCGCAACTGCTAATTTTTAAGGTCCTTCTTATAGAATAGTAAGTAATAGTTAAAATTGTTAGAATTTTCAAAAATTATGGGAATATGGTACCTTTTCGTAAAAGTCTTTTATTATGGGATCTATCACAATTTTATTCTCTAAAATATATTCATAAGGGGTAAAAACTGTTCACATAAAGTTTAAAAATGGGGAGAAAAGTAATTGTTTTATTTTAAAAATAAATTTTAAAATGCTACTTATCCTTCAGCTTTGAATAATTTTTCCTCAATCTTTTACTATACAATCGCTTTATTCTGTGGAATAACTGGTAGAAACCATTAAGGTAAGAAATGATATGAAATCTTAAAGCAGTTTTTTTTTATTCTGAGATAAAATGAGAAATTACTCACAAAAAAAATCGAAAATTCAAGTTTTGCAATTTTTTTAAACTTTCGACTAGAACTAATTATCTATCCTTACCTTTAATTAGTATATTATTATTACATATGTCCAAAATATCTGAGATTTGAAGATTTGGAGAAAGAGCCTTAGTAGCATTATAGGCAACTAAGTAGTTTCTTGTAAAGCTTTAGCACTAACTAAGTAATTTCTTGTACAGCTTTAGCACTATCTAAGTAGTTTCTTGTACAGCTTTAGCACTAACTAAGTAATTTCTTGTACAGCTTTAGCACTAGCTAAGTAGTTTCTTGTACAGCTCTTTAGCACTACACTTGACTTTTTCTAGAATTTTGGTACCATGTTCCCTTGAAATTTTGTTAACATTTAAAAGCTCAGTAGATAACTGACAAGTGAGTTATTTTTTGAAACTTCAAAAACCATGATTTATACAATAAAACTAAAACGTTGCTACTACTTCAATGACAGCAGATGTTGGCAGAACTATATTATTCCAAAGAATATGTTGTTCCAACTCCAGACTTTTTTGAAAGTATTGATTCAGACTTATATCCGATTAAAATGCTCACCGAATCGTAGAACTAATTAAATGTAAATTATTATTAGCTCCTTGTCTGTGGAATATATTAGAGAAAAACGTGCCAAGAATGGAAAAAAAATTCTCTTCATTTTTTTCGCTATTATCATCTAAAGGAAAATTTTGAAATTTTTTTAAAACAGACACAAAATTTTAAACGAAATAACAACAATATTCCATATTTTCATATATATGGGAAATGTTAATGGATTATGTTTAACTTCTGCAAATAATTATCAAAATAAAATAAATCAAATTACATGATTTTCAAGATAAAAATAATAATCTATTACAGCAATATTATTATTTATATCAACTGTCATGAATTCCTTGTCCCTCAGATTCCTTTACATTTCTGACAAATTCCAAAAATCCGACAAATGGCGTGAAACTGCCTAACTTTTCGATGGAAAATTTAAAAACATCTATTAGGAAAATGGTAAACTACATATTATGCATTGGAGGAACTGAGTTCGAACTACATGGAATCGAAGCACCCATTTTCTCTGTTACCCGAACTCAGGTCGGGTATTTCAAATTGCCTCGGCAACACAGGCAAGGGGTTAAATAAATGCTATTTCGGAATTAAATATTTCTCTTTTTCTATGCATGATTGGAATCAGAAGAACTTTATTTCAAATTGCACTTTAGGTCATAATGTAAAAGTAATGATAATAAATTAATTTCAGTAATTATGTTTGTGCAAAATTTTGAATTTATGCAGTACTATTAAGGAGCTATATATCAAATCTTAATTGAACACTCACACATTTATAAACATATTATTACAAGAAGAATATTCGAGAACTAAGAAATTATTGAAAATTATAATTTGAATTTATTTTAAACTAGCTTTACAATTGTAGATATAGATATTTTTCGAAATTTAGGTATAGATATAGATATTTTTTGAAAATTATGATTAAAATGATAATTTATTCATACAATACATAATTTAAATTCTTTTTATAATTATGTATAATTTGCCGGTAGACGCTTCCATTTTTTAATATTATTATCAAATTATTACAACAATAAATATCTATTTGTAATATATGTATAAGCTGGGATAGCCTGGTTGGTAGGGCGTTGGGTCCATGTCCAAGAGCTCCTGAGTTCGATTAGCCGTGTAGTAAATAGTGACTGGTGCACGTAAATCTGTTAGGTCACAAAGTCCGCCATGCTCCCATAACAAATCATGCCTCTGGTGGAACTGAATTGGAGATTGATTGTTTTCTGGTTTAGGTCAAAATTATGATCCGTGGATGAATGAATGGATGTATGAATAAGTCCACCCCATGAACGGGATGTGACGTGTGTGTGGCAGAAATTGTATTCTTGGTCCTAAATGGCTCCACTGAAAAACAAGAAATGCACCTTCCGCCTTAAATTCGCTTGGTTTCACCAAGCAGGCTTGCTGGTTTGGCAAGTGACATTAGTAACAATAACAACATAAATGGGTTTCAAAATATATTTATATTCTTAAAGTAATAACAATTTTTTAACTAACGTAGGTTTAACTATGTGTTAGTGATATGTTGTAATTTAATATCTTTATAATCAAAAAGTGCCTCGTTAATTTTATTGTTTTCCTGTATTTATACTCATTTTATTGATTTCATAGGTGTTAATAGTTTATATAAACATAGACTTGAAAACGGTCTAATGTCATAAACTAATTTGGTGAGAGGTTTAAATAACTTTCATAAGATCAAAAACGCCTGTTATCCTACAGAACCTAACTCTTTACCAATTCTTAACAACTTCTAATCTAATTTTCAACTACATTTTAAGAGCTTCTAATCCAATTCTTTTATCGTTTTTTCTGTTATCTTTAATTAAATAACTAAATTTATCATTTTTATTTTCTTGACAGGGAATGACAATTCGATTTTTTGTGAGAATTTTAAAGGTAACACAAAAGAGCGAAAAAGAAATTTCAATGAATGAACGACTTCATGGTACAGTAAGTATGAAGATAGTTTTATTAGAAGTTTTCTAAAAGAAAAAAATTTAGTTTTAACTTCTCCGGCGCTATTTGACTTATCCCGTTCAAAGTTTAGATTTTATGAAGAAAAAAAATTTTTTTTTCGAAAACAAATTACATAAAAATTGTGCTCTTTACTATTCAAAAATTGTTCGATTATTTTATAATTAAATAATAAAAAATTATAAACTAATTGCAAAAATATATAATTATTATGGAATAATCTCTAAATAAACGACTCTTATATTTGTGTATAATTTTGAAAAATGGCGAAATACGCAAAATGTAAAATTTAGAATTCAAACTTTTCGATTGTTAATCCGACTTAATAAATAAAGGAATAATTTCTAGATTGTAACCACCTCCTATATTTTTAGGATTAATAATCCGATAATATCAAAATAATGGTTTGTTTATTTAGCCAAAATATGCTTTTTACATTGATTCTGCAGAACTTTTGAGAACGAATCGAAAGAAGGCCAAATGCTCCGTTTTACAACTTAAGTGGTAGAATTTTCATAACTAAAACCCAAGTTTGTTACAAATCTAACTATTCCTAACATAATTATTCATTTTCTGTTTTTCTTTATTTTCAATTGATTCAATTTTATTTTCAACTTTTGAGTAGTTTAGCTAAAGCAACATTTTTGTTGATAAAATATATTGATTACAAAATTTAAAAAGTAAGTACTACAATTTCATTCGTTTTTTTTTAATACAAATTTTCAAGTATGAAAAAACATACTTTCAATGCTATGTTCATAGATAATGAGGATAGAAAAACTGGTAAGAGAATGGTAAGTATCATTTACTTCTCTTAAATAGAAATAGCGACAGTAATTAGTAACAGGTAAGTACCATCACAATATAAAAACTATGACTTATATATTGACTTAACATTACGAGTAAAACTCCCGCAGAAAGCCTTAACCAGAAATGAAAAAAAAATGATAAAAAGAAACTAGCAGTAAAACCATTTATCTTCCAGCTTGGAGTAAAAATCCCGTAACTACGATGACTTAATACATATGGTAGTCACGACTATTTTATTCATCCTAAAAAAAAAGGTAAAAATGATATGGTTTTCTTTCCATTTTTCCGTTTAAGATACGGATCCTCGTGATAGTTTTTATCGTGATACTAAGTGAATAAATTACCAGCTAAAAGTTCGTATACTCTGAACAATTTTCACGCATCTACGCACCAAAATATGATGGCGTTGGTGTTTCACTAAACGTTCCCCTATACAAAAACCAAAAATATTTCCTAGAGTAATGAAACACGTAGAAAGTTCAATTACACTACTTGGTGTAAAGTACCCGCCACCATATTTGTTATTCAGTAGCACTAAAATATAAAGTTACAGTAAGATACGATGCTCATAGAAATTAGTAAAGTTACTTTTACGATACAATCTAAAGCAAGAATCATAAATTTAGAAGGCACTTATATAATATTACTTAAAATAAAATTAGTTTATTGATTAAACACACGCGCTACACAGACAGTATATTAGTATGAATTCAAACAAAACCAAAGAAAATAGAAGTTAAATATTGTAAAATTACTTTATACAATTGAAAAATTTATGAAAGTCTTATGAGAACTTAAATATCTTTATTATACAACTCAAATCATTCGTACATTTCATACAGTTACAGTAGTTTTTCAAATCAATCCGACAAGAGGATTGAAATTGCTCGGCAAATAATCGACCACAATCAATATTCTTAATCAAACAGTAACGAGGGTTAAAACTTACTTGGTATTAAATAGGCTATGACCCGGTTTGTCAATTCAATCCGACAAGAACTCATTCAACTGTATACTTCATGTAAACGAACCGCCATCTTCTCACTATCTTTAAATTACACAATTATTCACCCTTAAACCTCTACACTAACTTTTAGTGTATCTCAAAACCAAATATGATTGCAACTACTTTAAGTAGTGCAGTGAAATGCTATACGTAACTCTTGAATCTATTGTTTCACTAAACCAATGTTTTTTTACACCATTTGGAGTAAAGTAGCCTACACAATTTTTGTTATTGAATAACACTAAAATATACAATAACAGTATTCAATTTTGATATAAAGTGGTATGAAGTAGTTCAATTTTAAGGGTATAGATTAAAATTACACTCTTTAAATCGCATATGAAAGGCGATTTGGAGTTTGATTAACCAAAAAAAAATGCTCTTTCGCGCATTTTTTGGGGTTGTTAAACATCATATTCGGAGAGATAAGAAAACCACAATTTTTATGGGGGAATAATGGTTAAAAAGCATTTTTTATACGTTTAAAACTTTATTAAAAAGTTTAAATAAATAACAATCATTCACCAAACTTGTGGAGCTCAGAAAAAACCCAACCTTATTCACCAGCAAGCTGCAAATTGGCGTAAGCTTTATCAGTTATTGGTGTTAAGAATGAACTACACCCTCTAAAGAATCTAAGAAAGATGGATTTAGTATTAACTTGAAATAAATTAGTAATGTAAAGAATTTTTGGTGCTTTTTAACACCAAATTTGGATAGGTATTACAATACAGTTTTTAAAGTGCACAATAACGACAGTTCAGAGCCTTAACCAATGTGTCATCGCCACTGGAAAAAAAATTCTTTTTCATCTATCCTTATTAAGTTAAATGCTAAACTAAGAATTTATCATTCAAAATTATAGTTTCATATTAATTTTTCATTGAATAAACAAGTTAAACTGCATGAACTCTCTAAACGTACTATTAGCAAAACGCTTAAGCTTTCGTTTACTCTTTATAGCAATACTTGTCTTTCACATTTTGGAAAATACAGTTCCAAATAGAAAAGTAGTCGGAAGTTTTGACAGCTTTATATTTATCTCACTTATTTAGTTATTATTATTAAAAAAAATATGAATCCGATAAAAAAAAGCTATCCTCATTCCGAAAACGTACGTCGTTGTGCTTGATTTCAAAACTTAATTTATATATTTTATTGAAAAATTAGCATATTGGAGGTAAACAGTCTGAGCATTTAAGATTAGCATTTTGCACTTGAAAATCCACTCAATTAGAACAAAAATTATTCATTATTAATCATTCATATAATTAATTCATATTCATATAATAAAAATCATTCATATTATTAAAATAAAAGTCTTGGTCGCTTTGTGTTTATTTCAATTATTTCATTATTATTATAAAAATAATCTGAGTCAGACAAAAAAAAGCATGTTCATTCTTAGAACGTAAGCCTTGTGTTTGATTTCGTAATTTAATTTATATTTTTTTTTAATTTAAAAATTAGCATACTGGAGGTAAACCGTCTGAGCATTTAAGATTAGCATTTAGTACTTGAAAATCCGCTCAATTAGAACAAAAATTATTCATTATTAATCATTCATATAATTAATTCATATTCATATCATTCATATAATAAAAATCATTCATATTATTAAAATAAAAGTTTTGACTGCTTTGTGTTTATTTCACTTATTTCGTTATTATTATAAAAGTAATCTGAATACGACAAAAAAAAGTATGTTCATTCCTAGAACGTACGTCTTGTGTCTGATTTCGTAATTTAATTTATATTTTTTCATTTAAAAATTAGCATGCGGGAGGTAAACAGTCTGAGCATTTAAGATTAGCATTTAGTACTTTAAATTCCACTCAATTAGAACAAAAATTATTCATTACTAATCATTCATATAATTAATTCATATTCATATCATTCATATAATAAAAATCATCATATTATTAAAATAAAAGTTTTGTCCGCTTTGTGTTTATTTCATTATGACTATAAAAATAATCTGAATCAGACAAAAAAAAGTATGTTCAGAGCGTACGTCTTGTGTTTGATTTCGTAATTTAATTTATATTTATTTTATTTAAAAATTAACATACTAGAGGTAAAATGTCTGAACTATTAAGATTAGCACTTGAAAATCCGCGTATTAAAACAAAAATTATTCTGAGAGATCTTTTTTTTCCGCCTTACTACACAAACAAAATGCCGATCTTTTAAAAATATGCGTTGTATGAATAGGATATTCACGAATTTTCTGCTGGTAGTGTATAATATCTTAGCCATAAATTTCAATTTATATATTGTATATTTTTTTCTTGTCTCTAATATGAAAGGTGAATTTCTAAGTTTTATGAAATGAGTTAGGTATTTACAAAAGGCAGAAGAAAAAATATTAATAATAGAAATATTTGGTTTCAAAATTTGAGATTCTTAATCTTATTTATAGGTTATGGATCACGTGATGGGAGGAATTGAAGAAGTTGCTGATCAGTTTCTTGGAAATAACAAAATAAGAGACAGGTAAATGTTTAACTCATTGAATATTTTCTGAGAGAGCATAAATACGATTTCAAATTTAAAAGGCCAGCTCAATCTAGTTTTATGAAACCAATTTCAATTTTTTTCGTCATGATACACATATTACTTCAATTATTTATGTAATTTCAATCAAATCTAGTTCCATTATGCCTTTTAAGATTTTGCCAAAAGTCAGCTTTTTGTTTACTTTCTTTTATCTTTCGAAAAGCAAATAATTAATTTTAATATTATAATATTAAATATAAATATTAATTATAAATGTTTCTGAAAAAGTTTAAAAATTACGCTTTTAAAAATGTTTAAATAAAAAGCGTTTTTGTATAATTAAACTAACGTTAAAATAAATGTTTAATTAAAAAAAAATTGAAGAACTAAAACTGATATAATAATATGACTATTTACTTGGTTTTTCTTTAAAAAATTAGGAAAAGCAATCTTGCAGATATTTTATCAAATCCAGCTTAGTCCAAAACACATTTTTAACTTACTCTTCAACCTAAAAATTTTTTGGAGGAGAAAAATAAGAATTTATAGGATTTTGTCTCATCGCAGCAGAAAATAATAGATAAAAAATTAAAAAAACCTTTTATTAAGAAACTAGTTGCACATTACATCACATTAAAGTGCATATTTATGATGCGTTCTAGTTTTCAATGAAAGATTAAAAATCTCTTAACTTAAAAACAATTATTAACGGTATAACTACGGTATTACACGGTAAAATAAAATATTAATATGTGTAATAAAATTTTTTTTTCATTTTCCATTAAAAAAAAAGTTACATAACTGTTGCAATAGTGGAGCATCACTTTAAAAAAAAATCAAATAATATATTAGTTAATATTAACGTTGCACTTGACCTCTAGAAATAGGCAGTTAGTGTCAGACTGATTAACACCCCAGCGCATGCGCAATCAGCAACAGTTAAGAGCGAAGAGGTGATAGCGGTAAGAATCTCCTGGCCTTGCATTAAAACCCAGGTCGGGGAGTCAGTAATTAAAATGTTTGACTCCGACTCCAACTAATACTCAATTAAAATTTAAATCAAATCCCCAGAAAATATTAAGTTTAATAAAGAAATGTTAATTTCAAATTATTCTATTTTTTATGTGTTGATAGAATATGGCACTTGATTTAGGAATATATTTTTATTGTATCCTAACAGTTGAAAAAATAATTTTTAAAAGACATATTCGTGCAAAATATTGACATTGTGCAAAACCATAAGAACTATAGATATCAACATCACACATGCACACACATAGAAACGTCTTATGGCCAAAAGTAATCGTTTAGAGACCAAACATAAACAAGGAAGTTATTAAAAAGGATATGTTAAGTTCATTCAAATTTTTTTCATCAACTTTGAAAATTAGAAATATTTCAATATTTTGATAAAATTCAAACTATTTCCGTTTTCAACCAGAAAATGTTAACATTTTTGGGATTAACATTTTAACTTCTTATTTTGTCCAGGCACCTAGAAATTTTGCACATTTTTAGACCTTTGAATAGATGATAAGTGGATGGATTTTTTAAGCAATAAACTTTTCCCTAGTTTATATTCATTTGCGTGAAAATGGTTTTAAAAGTTGAGAATTTTTGCTCCAATTCTCTACAAAATATCTAAATAAGCGCTTTTGATCAGTTTTGTAAATTTGGCGTTGGGGACGGAAAAATCTGCTCGACTCCAACATTCGGTAATATCCGTAAAATAACTCCGTCTCCTGTTAGTAAAAATTGTTAAATCCTTATATTATAAAAAAGGAGGATTGTGATCTTATGAAAATTATTTAGACAAGTATTTAATATTATGCGAACAAAAAATTTATTAAAGTGAATATAATGACAACTTAAACTGTAACTTATCACAATCTTAATTTACCACATTTGAACGTTTTTCAGACTATGATTGATATAATAAACTGTTAATTTGATTAAATTATTACATTAATAAATAAGTTATTATATTAAATAAATTATTAATTTATATTATGATGCATGGGTTCCAAATCCAAATTTGCTTAGCTAGGATTATAATTTAATTAAATAGATATGCAAATTAATACAGTAAAACTTTTCAGGAGCGACAGCTCTCTGTTCTACAGTAAAATGGTCATTGATGGAGGTTGGTCGTTCTCAGAAGTTACTTCCATTAACTTTAATTGTTATTGAGGGCACATGACTTTTCGCAAACAATTTTAATTTTAGTCAGTGTCATTTTTTTTGCGCGGAAATGCCACTTCTGTTGGTGTCATGAAAGGATGGAAATATGAATAAAATTTAGCTTCTATAAAAATAATCCCAACTTATATAATTATATGTAAAAGCAATTTTACCTATTATGAATGATAAAGCTATTTTAAACAAATAAGCCATTATGTTTTTCGTTTAAGTTTGCATTTAATTTTACATCATAAAAATTAGTTAGCTGTATGTAGAAGAGATTTGTTTGTTTGAGGCGCTTGTTTTTTCCAAAATTACTTTTTTTTTCTATTTTAACTTTCAACTTTGAAAGTAAATCATTGATAGCATCGACTTTAGTGAACTCTGACTGCAACATGAGGTTGTATCATCAAAAAGAGTTCGCTAAATAAGAGCCTCATACATATATTTTGAATACATTTTAATCTATTTATTTGTTTCGTTAAATTTTTTGTTTTTATGTTTTTTCGTGTTTCCTTTTTTTTACCTTATTCGCATTTGGTGCAGATGCTTGCTCTGTAGCTGGGAGAAGCTTAAATGGTCTCTTCTAAAGGTTTTCTTCAACACAAAGTCTATGGAAAAAATTCCGCATATTCCGAAAGTGGTAGTAAATAGGGGTGATCTTTCCTGGAGGTTTCACTGTATAATGTTGCATTTGTAATGGTTTCCCAGTTAAGGAATATTCGCTTCTTCAAACAACAATCTTGTTGTAATAAGATGTTTATACATAAACGAGAAAGAGACATTGAAATCCAGCTCTTATTAGTTTTATACGCTTTCAATATTTTGTACAAATAGGCTTTTTTTTAAACTGCATTACTTCAATTATAAAAATTTTAAACAAGTTTAAGTTAGAGTCAAGTTCTCAGGAAAACCTGGAGGTGGAGTCAAACATTTTTCTTACCAACTCCGCAGCTCCATCTTTAGACTCTTTCAAAATTTGCTACATAACGTCACGTGAAATATTGCTTCTAAAAATGTCTTCTTTACAATAAAAAGTCTAAATAATTGCTTTGGGGAAAAATTAAAGCATTACAGTTAAATATTGCATTCAAGTTTAGGCACAATTCTCGTTATCTTTAAATCATTTAAGAAATAAGAAAAAGCAATGACATTTATGACTTATCTTTATGATTAAAAAGTGAGAGGATATTTGTTCTTCCTGTGATAAGAATGTTTATCCACTCTACCTTTCGTATCCTGTGAACTTAAACATTCATGAAATTATTGGAACTGTAATTGTGTCATAGGAACAAAGGTTATATATATATATATATATATGTATATAACCTTTGTTCCCGTGACACAATTACAGTTCTAATAATTTCATGAATGCCTTGGTAATCAATTTTATAAGTAAGAATTTTTAAGAAAAATTATTGAAATGTGCGTAAAAACAATAACAAAAAAACTTTTTAAAATTGATTCAGTTTTTTTTTTAAAAAAGTGTATAAAAGTTTGCCATTTCAATATAGATTGATATAGATAAGTTGAATACCTTTAAAATATGCTGAATAAACTGCGCATCATTGAAAAGTCATTTTCCAATCAAATTTTTATTTTTTTAGCCAATGATAAAATAAGAAATGTGAAAATCAGGGTTTTTTCAAATTAAAGATTTTTCAAAACAAATAAAAGCTTATTCAAATTAATACACATACACACACACACACACACACACACACACACANNNNGAGAGAGAGAGAGAGAGAGAGAGAGAGAGAGAGAGAGAGAGAGAGAGATAGTAGATAGATAGATAGATAGATCGATGCAAATAAAATTAGAAAAAAAACATTTTTAGGAAAAGAAAAATATTATTAAAAAATAAATGGTTTTAAAAAATTTTAAAACATTTAAGAACCGGAAAACAAATTAAGGAAAAGAAATAATCAATCAGTAAGAGAGCATTTAAATATCGTATTAACATAGCTAAAGCAAAATATATCAATACAATAAGTCACACGATTGAATTAATATATTTTTGCTTTGGCTATATTTATACAATATTAGAAAGCACTCCTTCTACGGATATAACCGTGTGAGCTAACGACGAGTTTATATTTTTTCCTTATTCTGGTTTCAGTTTTTTTAATTGTTTTTTAAGTTTTTAAATATTTTCAAATATTCTTAAAATCAGTTTATTGATTAATTTCCCCATTCTATGTGCAGTAAACTATGCGCAGTAACTTATGCGTAGTAAATAAAACTTATTATTTTTTCTTCTCTAATTTTCTTCGCTAATCTCTCTTTTTTTAAATTCTTTTTTGTATCTTTAATATGTTTTTTATATATATATATATACACACACATAAGCGGATGTTTTGAAAAATACAGACTTTTGTCTAATACACTGAACTTATCACCCCGCTTGCGAGCGTATCTTGTGATGAAAACAACTTCGGAATACAGGGGTTGTACAAAATTTAGCAACAAATGTCTTAGAAGTTTTATATGATAAAACTATTGGTACAATTTGAGAGATCATGGTTGAAGCCTTAATAAAAGGATGTCATTTTATTAAAGATCATGCTTGAAGCTTTAATAAAATGATGTCATTTTTTCCCATGCAAAGTTCGGATCGATCAAAATGAACGTCAAAAGTTAATAACTTCTTTTTAGCTTTAATATCGGCAATTTTTAAATCATTCCATAGAATTAAAATATTTATATCAGAATACATTTTTAATTACAGTGGCATTGAAAAATGAAAGAAACTATTAACTTTCTATGCTCATTTTTATTTTGGTCGATGTTAAGTTTTCAGGGATAAGAAGGACACCATTTCTAAAAACTTTAACCATGATCTTTCAAGTTGGACCAAACTTTTTCCAAAACGGCTAAAAGAAAGATTGTTTACATAAAGTTAGTCTAGAAGTGATTCCATAATTTTGTCCAATCCCTGTGAAGTTCACCTAAATGTCTCCTCATTTAAAATTTCTTAAAATTAAATTATATCAATACAATTCGCTTAAACAGTTCCTAATTGTCCAAAAAGTGCAAAAGGCCAAGGGCACCCAAATTTTAAAAATCCTTAAAATTGAGAAAAGCATGAAAAGTATATTTAATAGTAAAAGTACATTTTTAGTAGTTCTTCAAAGAATAGAAAAGTATATTTTATATACCAAACAAAAGTAGTTAATTAATATGCTAATAAAATAAATCAATTTTAGTTTTACATATGATTCTAATTCCGTAAGAATAAAAAGTTTATTATTGTGAATTTTATTAAATAATTTAATATAAATACAGGGTAAAAAAAATGCATTTCTGAAAATAAAATTTGCGAAACTTTTTATGCAGTTGGCCCTTGTATTCTGTTGCTCACACAGCCTTGAATTCTTAGTCTTAATTTTAAATAGTTTAAACAAAAATTTAGACAATCAATGAAATTTTCTCAATGATGCTCATTATTATCATTCAATTTTCTCATTATTAGACTCAAATAATTAATATTTTATTAACTGAAAGGAATAATTATTTTTTTCAAAAATTAGACAAATGAGATATTATTTTAAAAAACAGTCATCAAGAGTAGCCTCTGAGAATATTTATCATTATTTACAGGGTGTTTAATAAGAGCCTCCCTGGAAATACATTTTTGGAATTTTTGTCAAAAATAAAGTTTAAATTATACATACGCATCAGGGGTATCAAATTAATATTTCATTATTATGTAAGTCAGGAAAAAGTATCATTAAAACTTGACGAATTGTTTATAAAATTCCGATAAATTATTTCTTTAGAAAAAATAGCTGAAACATCAAAAACAGTTTGATTGTATGAATAAACTGAAAAGGTTTCTAGCAATCACCTTTTACTTTTTTTCATTTTTTTGGAATTTAACTGATTTTTTTTTATGCTTTAACTTTGCATTTTTGATAAATTCTGACTACTGATTTTTTTTTTTTAATTTTTATCTCTTATAAATATTAATGATCAACCTTAAATATGAATATTCCTTTATTTCATTTTTACAAAGCTTTTAAAAATATACATTTGCTGGGGTTTTTTAAGATCATTATATATTACTCATAATATGTCCAATTTTTTCAAGATCTGATCGTATGATTCTTTTTTTTTCTAGGTTTAAATACTTCAATAACAAATACTTGAGACCTTACCTAACTAACCACTCCAATGTGAACGAGCCCAAAATATTCCAAACTCATTCCAGATTGAATTTAATGGATGCCATGAACATTGTAAACAATGGATCGAAACCGAATTTCCAGCCTGAATTATCTTTATCTGGTGTCTTGAGAAATTACACCCAAACTAATTTGGCCAAGTAAGTTAACAATTAAACTTATTAAATACATTCTTGTCTTTTATGCCATCCTATATTCTGCTCGTATATTTATAACCTAATTAATTAGCTCCTCAAACCCAATCGTGGAGTCCGTCTTTTTTTGATAAATCTTGGGCGAAGTAAGTTAACTGAAGCAGCATTAGCCGCCATCAGGGATGAAATCCTAGGCCATTTTTAACAGTTCATAAACATTTTCATTTTGCAATAACAATGTCATCTATAAATTAAAAATTCAACAAAAAATATAGTAGATTAAATGGGGATTCTGGATATTGTAAGTCTGCAATAAAAATAGGCCCTCCTATTTAAGGTTTTGAAGTTTACCTCACTTCACCGAGTGAAGGAAAAAATTTTATAGGTAGGTACTTTATTTCCGTCGCACTAGGGGGCTGCAATGGGCTATTAAAGACGGTCTGGGAAACATCCCTGAGAATGATCCAAAGACATGAAATCGCAGTTTTGATCTTCGGATTTGCAGATGATACCACCACTTTGGAAGTCCGAGGACCTGTTCGCGAAGTCGAGCGCTTTACGGTAGAACAGTTGAACGAGGACCGATACCGTGAGCCCTCCGTCCCTACGCTGGCTGTTCAAAGAGGCCATCCACCTACAAACCGCATCCAGTGATGCTTGACTTCGGTGTTCGACTAGGAACCGTGTCCTTACAATCAGTTCACTTCGAGGTGACAAAGTTTGGTGTCATTAAAGACTTTGCATAGCAAACAGACAAATGCTATTTGAGATTCCCAATGCTGAAATTTCTCTACAAATCACAGAACCGATAAGGAATAGAAAATAAGGTTAGCTGCATCCTCAAAATATTTTTCTGTTGATGATTATTAAATTAGTGATATTTAGGTGACCAAAATTTAAATTTATTTTATTAAAATCTTCCTATCTTAAAAAAAGAAATATGTCCGTAGCTTTAATAAACAGAGTTTCCTTCTTGAATCATTATTGTATAATAGAAAGCAATTATTTTTATATATGTATATATATATATATATATAAAAAACTCAGTGGCACGACAGCTCATAGAGGGCCAGGGTCCACTGTGCCCATCTCAGTTTTCTTGACCTTGGGCTCTGGGGTGCAGGAGCAGATGTTCCGGTTAAGTGGTCAGCCGAACGCGGAGCCTCCAGTGTTTAGTTCCCAAGCATGCGTGATACTCATTTATCGACCCACTGAAGGGATGAAAGGCTGAGTCAACCTTGCCCGGCCCGAGAATCGAAACCAGGACCTGCGGCACGGGAGCAATATATATATATATATATATATAACCACCTTTAGCAGAGCTGATGACAACGAGACGTGCGGAAAGAGAGTCAACTAGGCTCGTAGAAATTTCTCACTGGGATGTTGAACCCTGCCGACTTTAATCGTGGTGACCAACTACTCTAGGTTACACGATTGAGGATCCATGGCGCGAAAAAAACCCTGGGGGTGATGCCACAGATTCTTGATTGGGTTTGAGTTCAGGGAATTTGTTGGCAGAGGGAGTACGTAATTTCATTCTGGTGGTCTTCGAAACACGCGAATACACTGCGAGCTAAATGTCACATCACATTGTCCTGCTGATAAATACCATTTCCCTGAGCAAAAACAATTCGTATCCAGGAGTGGACATGGTCAGCAAGGACATATGCATACTTGTATTGATCCATTCTGCCTTCCACAATACTGAGTGCACCCAAAGCATGCCACGAAAACATTCTCCAGACCATAATGTTTCTCCGTCAACTTGGATCCACCCGGGTATCATTGCTAGGTGTTTGTTTGCTAGCGTTTCAAGCTATATACGCCAACGTCCATCTGTCCGATGGAGCATAAAAAGTGATTCAATGGAAAAACAACCTATTGCCACTCAGTGAAGGTCCAGATGGAGTACTGGTGCTCAAATTCGAACTTTTTTCGCTGATGAACTGCAGTCAGCATATGTACATTAACCAAGCATCTGCTTAGGAGGTGCCTACGCAGGAACATTCGCTGAACCGTCCTTGAGGACAAACAGTCGGTAGCCTCTTGGTTCATTTGGGCGGTTATTTCCTCGACAGTTTGTCGTTTATTGGACCGAGCGAGTCTCCGCAGCCGTTGCTCAACTCAGTAATCTATGGCTCGTGGTGCACCACATTGTCCATGTTGCTGATTTTGGTTGGTGTCATTTCGCTATGTATGGTATGCTTTTACCACGGCGGCAAGAGAACAGTTTACAAAATTAACTGTTTCGGAAATATTTCCACCCTTGGACCGACAGCAAATGCTCTTTTGGACATCGGATTGAAGGGAATATAATTATCGACTATGTCAACTATCATCTGTCGAAAGGTACCTCGAGATGGAATCCAGTCAACATGTGTTATATACTAGTTAATTGGTATTTAATATTTATAGTGGTAGTTCACACCACAGGATTAATCGCCCCAGTTCTGCATTGCGCTTACGATTGCAATGTGCTGCCTTTTGAGATTGGTTATTTCACGTAGGTTGTGATCTGTGTATAAGGGACTGTGCATAACTGTGTATATTATAAAAATAGACTGCATAAATAGTGATTTAAAATCTTCAAAAAATCTATTATTTAAATAAAAATAGTATATTATTATTTTTTTCACTTAAAAGAGATTTTGCTACCAGTTTCTTATATTGAACTTTGACGTAAAAAAAACTATCTAATTTAAAAGCTCTCATATCTTACGATTTGGGATAATATAATGATAAGTCACATCCTCTAATTGTTCAAGAAAGCGTTTTTAATTTTCATTTCTCAGAAATTTTGATACCAAATTTTTATCGATGGTTGAAAGTATAAAGCAAAGCGCAGATGGCGCTGGTTGTCAAAATTTGCCGTAAGACTTCCGGGTTAATATTTCCAACTCTATTTTACGCCTAAAAGTTTGACAAAACACGCCATCCAATATTATTATACTTGTAGTGTTTTCAATATAACGAGTTCTTTCAATTTAACTTTCAACGAAAGAAACAACAAATGAATTTAGAAAACTCCACAAACCTGCTATGATGCTAACCAAAATATAACAAATAATAAACAAATAACGAATAAAATAACAAATGGTGCTATTTTACGCAAATATAGCCAAATAAGGGATACTATTCAAAACATGGCAAACCTTGCACTTATTGTTGATTGTTGATTTGTTCATTTACTTCGCACTAAAGCTGCACAATGGGCTATTGGCGACGGTCTGGGAAACATCCCTGAGGATGATCCGAAGACATGCCATCACAATTTTGATCCTCCGCAGAGGGGATGGCACCCCCGCTTCGGTTGCCCGACGACCTGCACGCGAAGTCGAGCACTTTACGGTAGAACAGTTTAACGAGGACCAATACCGCACACCCTTGGTCCCTACGCAGACTGATCCAAGTGGTCACCCACCCGCACACTGGCCGCAGCCAGTGATGCTTGACTTCGGTGATCTGCTGGGAACTGTGTCTTAACGATCAGTCCACTGCGGGACCTTACACTTTAATTATGCTGTGATATTAATTTTATTTTATGGTCAAGACCTGTTAGGATTAAATTACAGAGACTCTTATGAATGGCAAAATTAAGTGTAAATGTAAACACAAATCACAATAATAAAATTTTCCTATAATATTAAGCCTGTTAACACATTACAGCATAAATATAACATAAGTGGAGGGATAAACCGGATGTTTTCTAAATTTCTTCCGGATTTAGAAAGCTTGTTATTGTTCACGTTCAGTTAACCATTCATATTGAACTTTGACATAAGAAACAATTCAACTTCCTCTGACGTAATAACTAAAATACCTTACCATTTGGTTCAATACATGATAAGCCATATTTTCAAATGTTCAAGAGAGTGTTTTTGGTGAACTAAATAAATAAGAGACAATGCAATGCAATGCTGGATATTTTGCAGTTATCGTATAAAAATTTTGGTCAGTAAAGTAACTATATGGAAACAACTCTAAGTAACACTTTCATGTTTAAGTGCCTATTCTTTATAAAGTGTAGTTTATCACTTATATTGCGTGAAGATCTTTTTTGTAAGAAAACTTTTTTTTATTGCTAGTAAATTTGATTGCAAATAAATAACAAGAAATTACTTTAAGCAGCAACTATAAACCAAAACTTAGAAATAAAAATTAATATATGTTTTTTTTTTGGTTAATGTCAGGCACTTGGGTCTATTTCCCATTGGCCTCAGAAATGCCAGAATTGCTACTCTCTTATCGTTACCAAGTGAGCACCTGTGGCTAAGCCACGGAGGTGGAGTAGCTTCGCCCACGTCATACAACCACAAACCCGTTTGTAGAGTGGGTTACATTCACACAGAAGAAAGGACACACAGTGAGAGAGAAAGAAACATCCATGCCCTGAGCGGGATTCGAACCCGCAACCATCGGCTCAGCAGTCAGGCACACTAACCACTCGGCCACCTGGTCGGCGAATTAATATATGTACTTCATATAAATTAAAGGATTCTAAATATTGTTTTCTAAATTGTCTGAAAAGTCTTTGTATAATAATTCTGTGATTTTAAGATAATTTTTATTCGAATGCAATAGAGAATTATTTCTAAGCGTAATTTCCAAGTAAGCACATTGTTTTCAACGGAAAATTTAAAAATTGAAGGCACAAGACAGATTATATTATAATATAAGCAAATATCTATACATTTTTGTATCATTGTCGAGTGATTTTACGATTTTATTATGCAATTGAGAGCAAAATTATTCCTAAATATAATTTTTAAATCGAACTGTAAGTTTTTAACTGAAAATTTGAAATCGAAGACATAGGAGGTATCAAAATATAAAAGAAATATAAATATGGAACGTAATTATATCATTACTGTGCTATTTTTCGATATTTATGGAAATTCATTATGAAAATTTATATTACAGTGCAATATCCAAATCGAAAGCACACTTTTCAATGAAAAATATAAGTTCGAAGCTGTGGGAGAACTGATATTATCCATAAATCT